TTAAGTACGATGGGAACAACATAACCCGCAAGATTGGTGTATACGCCGTCCTGGTTAGGCCAGGAGGGCGTACGGCATGTCCATGTCGTGCCGGCTCGGCGCCGACCCTGGCGCGGGCGAGCGTTCAGGGTTGACACCGGCCCGTGGCCCAGAACCGGCCAATGTGGAGCGGCCTGGCGATGGAAACCCAGGCAGAATCGCGTCGTCGAAAAATACGGACGGGGGGCTTTGGGCGATTTTCTGCCTCTGGGGGGGCCCACGCCGGGCCTCGGGACCGTCAAAAAACGACTCGGGACGGAAAACCCGTCCCGGGGAAGGGTCGCATGTTCAAGCAGTGGCGAAGCGTCCTAGCTCGCCTATAGGCCTACCAAAGAATGTTCTAAGAACCTTTTGTGGTCTGCAAGAAATGTTCTTAGAATATTTCTGGCTGAGACTGTCTTGTTCTAACGCATCGAGCTTATGTTCTAAGAACGTTGCTTGCGCTCTCAAAAGATTTCCGGGTTCTAGGAACATGTTTCTTGGTGGGCCTATAGAAATGCCGGGACGGCCAGTCCCTGCTGAACAGGACGGAACACCCGTCCCGGGGAAGGGGTCGGGACTTCCAGGGGCTCCGTTCGGAGGGCACCAACTATACACCAACACCGATCCTGGCCCAGGATCACCCTGGGCCCAGGATCGGTGTATATGCCTTCTTGCGCAAGGCAGGAGGGCGTATACACCGATCCTGGGCCCAGGGTGATCCTGGGCCAGGATCGGTATTGGTGTATAGTTGGTGCCTCCCTATCCGTCCTGAAAGAAGATCAGGACGCCGCACGTCTGGCGAGCGCCGCCGATCGCTCCAGCAGGCGGAGCGCGCGGTGTCAGACGCCAGCGCTGGGGGGCCTTCGCGACCCGAGCCCTGGGCCCGGGCACCCGCCCGGGCCCAGCACGGGGCCCGGGCCGGCACGGGGCCAACCTCACCGAACGCGGCCCACTGGACTCGCAAGCCTTGAAATCTTGGCGCTGCGATTGTTTTCACGACGGGGGTTTTTCGCTCCATTTCGGGCCCAGGGACCCTCACAGATCGATCCGGCTCGAAAAAGGACGCGGAAAGATGGGGTCCGGGACTCCGGGCGTGATTTGCTGCGATGTCGTATTTTTGTTGCTGCAACGTCGGGCACGGGGATGTAATGCATCGTAAACCCGCCATGGCGGATGCAGGCCGTCTGCGAGCAGTTCCTCTGCGGGCGGTGGGGGGAGCGCTCGTCTGCAGCGCGCGGCGCTGGCCGCTGCGCTGTGCGCCCCCAGCGCTCCCGCGCCGCACGCCCCAGGACGAAGTGCGGCAGCATCGAGCTCGGCGGTGCCGCGCCGCCCCTTGGCGCGCGCGCGGCGGGGCCGCGGAGGGCCAGGGGCCGGCACGGACTCGCGGCGGCTCTCCTCGCGGTGGCTTTCGGGGGCACGCGCTGCTAGGCCCTCCCCTCTGGGCCTACCCCCCCTAGGCCTACCCGAGGCCGATCCCCAGGGCCTGCCCCTAGGCCTACCCGAGGCCGACCCACAGGGCCTGCCCCCAGGCCTACCCGAGGCCGATCCCCAGGGCCTACCCCTAGGCCTGCCCTGGGCCGACCCACAGGGCCTACCCCTAGGCCTCCCCTAGGCCTACTGCTAGAGCCTCCCCCTATAGGCCTACCTCAGGCCCGCCCCAAAGGCCTACCCCTCTGGGCCTACCCCAGGCCTTCCCCTGGCCCTGCGGCTCCATGGCGGCTTCTCGCAGGCCTTGGGTAGCAACTCGCAGGAGCCTGGCACGTCCTCGAAGCTCCGCCGTCGGAGTCCACTCGCGTGCGCCAGCGCCCGGCGATCGACGAGGCAGCGCCGACCTGGAGCCGATCGGCGCCGGGAGAGGGCGCCGCTTCGCACCGATTGGCCTCGGCTCGCCTCGACTCGAGTCGGCGAGCGCCGCTTCGCGAGAGCCAGCCGGACGGCGTGCGAGGCTCCCGCGAGCTGCCACCGAGGAGGCCGGCGGCACCGGCCCGCCCCGGCCGCGCGCGGAGGGCGGCGACCGCGGAGAGCGGCCGGCGCCGGCGGGGGCCCCCCTGCGCCCGGGGGGGCCTCCTCGGAGGCTCCTCGGGAGGCCTCCGGCGGTCCTCTCGGGAGGCCTCCTCCTCCTCCTCCTCCTCCTCCCCTCCTCTCCTCCTCCTCCTCCTCCTCCCTCCCTCCTCCTCCCCCTCCCCCTCCCCCTCCCCCTCCTCCCTCCTCCCCCTCCTCCTCCTCCTCCTCCTCCTCCTCCTCCTCCTCCTCCTCCTCCTCCTCCTCGGTGTTCGGCGGCCTTTGGGGGGGCTGCTCGCCGGTCGCTGGGCGTGCGTGTTTTGGGGACTCCCAGGTCCCAATCTGCGTCGAGCGCCTCCCTGCTTTCAGAATCGAGATGCTGTTGCTGTGCTTGGTCATTCTCTGGGGGGGCCTGGACCCAATCTACACTGTCCGCCCTCCTACTTCGTGTGTTCACCTAATTACTCCCTCCGACCGACGCGTACTCGGAGGGAGTCGTCGGTTTTCTCAGGCAGGTCTACAGGATGAGGATGAATCGTTCCAGGCACTCTGGAGCGATCTCAGAGCGTTCCAAAACGGCCGCAGTGCCCGGCACGTCCTCCGACCTTGCCGATCTGTATGGTATCGGCCACCGTGGTGCACGCCACGTAGCACAAGCTATGTGGTGCAATAGTCGTGGTGCAAGCTACGTGGTGGAAGCTGTGGTTCGATAGTTCTGGTGTAGCTGACTAACACCAGCTCGCGCGAGCATTCCACCCTCCCACCCGCAACGTGTTTTGCAAGACCCATGCGGCCCCGTTTGCGGTGACTGCTTGGCACTGGCTGGCGCATCTCTGCGGCCGCGCTGGCGTGCGCAAACACGCGCGCAGAGCGGCCAGCTGGTTTGGCACAGCTGATGCGGCCGCGATGGCGCTTCCCGATTGGAACTTCCTTGCGCGTCTCAAAGGCCGCGCTGGCGCGTGGGTGCTTCAGTGTGGGTCGGTGCCTCGGGTGGGTCCGATATCAGTATGGCGTCGACAGCGGCATGAAAGATGATAGTAGCGATGGTGGTAGCGATGATGATGATGACGACGACATTAAGGTCAAAGACGGTGCCGACGTTGGTGGCGACGACGACGACGACGATGATGATGAGGTCCGTGTGTCGGTGATGATGGCAAATGGCGGCAACTTGCGACGACGATAACGACGGCGATGCGATGGCGCTGATGAGGGTGATGTTGAGGAGGTGCGCGCGTGTAGAGATTCAAGAATCCGGGCAACGATAAGGGGGGGATTGGCATAAGTGGGGGATGCATCGACCACTGATCGCCGACAGGGGCCCGACAGCCCCAATTTGCACAGCAAGGTGCGGATTCACTACCGGGGGCCTAACGCCGATCTGTCGGCGATGCATCGCCGATTCCAGGTCGATGCCTCCCCCCCTGTGCCAGTCCCCCTTTTGTCGTTGCCCCTCACGTTCCACATGTGCGATGTGAGCATTGTGCATTGAAGCGTTTCGGACACCACGCTTCTGTATATATTGTGTGTCGCACTGCACGTTGGAAGGATTCCAGCACGCGCGCGCGGTGGCGCGCGCGCGTGGCCCGCCCAGAAGTCTCCTGATGCGCTCCTCCTCTCACCCGGGGCGCAAGTCTGCTCAACGCAGATGCACGGCATGGTGTCAAGGGAGGGAAAACCCCCCGGAACGGACAATCATGCGTTCATTACACGGCCCTGGGCCTTTACTGAACAGCCCTGCCCTGTTCGATTCCTTCTTTGGGTGCGTTTACTAAACGGCTTCGCGTGTCGGGGTGGTCACTATCGGGATGGATGTTCTGCCCTCGATGGTGAGATGGGAATCCGGGTTCTGGACGAGATTGCGAAACGCCAGGTGGCTCTCGCATGATTTCAGCAGGAGCGCGCGGGCAGAAAATCCGCAAGACGTCGAATTGGGAGCAAAGTAAGTGCTACAATGTTTCTATGGTGATACCCTTGCGACAATACGGTCTTCAATTTGAATTCGACATGCCCGCACGTGTGGACTTCAAGGTGCTTCCTGCAACGAATTATTACAACATGACCGTTAGACATAAACGAGCGCACGCACGAGCAGAGCAACGGGGCCGAACGGTCAGTCATTGTCCCTGGGTGCATGGCCAGAATTAGTTATCTTGCCGTCCTCGCCCGCGAGCCACCCCGCGACGGGCCCGCGACCCACCCCGCGAGACACCCGCGACCCACCCGCGACCCACCTCGCCCGCCCCGTCGTTCTTACTCGCAGCTGCGGGGTGCTACGTGTCCTGGGGCACAGATGCAGGGGACCGATGCCGGCGTGGCAGGACGATATGGTCCCATATGGCAAACGAACGGGGGGGTCGATTCGTGCGGGCGACGGAGAACAACGGGGTCATTTGCGCCGACGTTGGCGCGCAAGCTGCCCGAGTGTAGGGTTCGCAAGGCAGCGTGCCGCGCTGGCGGCCCGCGTAATTAAGCGATCGCGCAAGGTCGCCATGCCATCTCGCGCAAGACCCGCTTGTGATTGCCGCTCATGTGTATATTTCAGGAGGGGGAGAATCACACAGACACAATGAATCGTCGACCCCCAGGAAAAGATGGGGATACTCTGGGGAGTGGCGGGGGGGAAGACGGACACCCCGAAAACATGGGAACATAGGGGCCATCCTGGGACTTGTGTGTGTGTGTGTTTTTCTTTGGGCGTCCATGGGCCCCTTGTATATTGCATTGCCCGAGGGGCTAATCCACAAGTCCGGGGAGGGGCAGCCTTGCTCTTTGTCGGAAGCTCGGCAGTGGAGCTGCGCGAGGCGCCCACGGGGGCGAGCCCGCGGGCGCTGGGGCGGGCCCGTGGGGCGAGCGGCCCGCGGGGGAGGCGCCCACGGGCTGGCGCCACGGGCGAGCGCGCCGGGCCCTCGAGCCCGCGGGGCCTCCCCAGGGACCTTGGTTTACAGTCTAGGGAAACAAAAAGTGGCATAAACATAACAACTCGGAGGTCCGCGCGGATTTCTCGGATCGGCGCTGGGGCCCCCCGGCGGCGCCTCCGGCGCCGCCCCTGGCGCGCTCCGCGCGCCTGGGAGGGGGTCCAGCGCCGATCCGAGAAATCCGCACGGACCTCCGAGTTTTTATGTTTATGCCATTGGTTGTTCCCCTAAAGTCGGGCCTTAGGATATTTCGCTTGCAGTTTCAGGTGGGGAGTGTGAGCATAGTTCGCTGGCACTTTTCAGTCAGTGGGATAAGGGTATGTCGCTGGCAGTTTTTGGCCAGGGGGGGAGGACATTTTGCTGGCAGTTCTAAGCGATGGGTGTGAGGATATTTCTCTGGCAGCTTTGAGGACGGGGATTGAGGATATTGCTAAGGTTAAGTCGGGCCTGCCCTTCTACAGGATCAATCTTCAAACATAGTCAAAAAAGTAGTCTGGCGACGACTTGTCGATTGTGTTTGATAATTGCGGTGCATTAGTAGCCTATGTTTTATTGTTCGCCCAAAATCCGCCTGTAGGGGGACATGGGACATGCCCGACCTAAACTTAGTTGTGAAGGACGAGCGCAAGAAGGGCTCATGGCAATCACTGTTTGGGGCACCGTCCCTCTCCCCTGGCAGGCCGCCTTCCGCATCTCTTTCGGTCCCCCACAGGCGCGCCAACCTTCCTGAGGCATGTAGCAGTTATAGATCAGCATGTAGCATTCAGAACACGGACGTTCGTCCCATGCCACCGTGCCACTTCCCCCCCTCCTCCTCCCTTCGCTCCTCCTCGCTCCCCCCCCTGCCCTTTCCGTAGCCATTTTGGCTCAAGCCACCTGGGCTCGAGATTTCGCTCGCGCCCGGGGCCCCGCCGCTGGACCCGAGATGGTGCTGGCTTGAGCGCTGCCGCCTGCTGCGGCCGCCAGGTGACGGTGAAGTGCGGTTGCCCAGCGCGTGTACTGGCTCGACACGTCCGTCTTCTTCCTGTGGATGCGCATTTGGGTGCCGGTCTCCCTGTGCTCGGTCGACCTTTTCGACCGCTTGTCTGCCTGCCAGCTGTGCCATGCTGACATCGTCGTCATCTCCGACGAGCTGGTCGCCTACGCCTTCGTTGGGAATTCCAACGGCGGGTTGCCAGGCGCTTCTTGTGCGTACCAGCGATGGTATCCGCAAGGTTGCCAGGCCGCCCCCGCCGCCTAATTATGTCCCTGGCGTCTGGCACACGGGCGATGGCACCGATGCCACCGCCCGGGCCGCTGCCCATGGAGCTGCAGGCGAGCCAGAAGTCCGCGCAGAAGGACCGGAGCGCTCGGCACACCAAAATCTACAAAAAGGAGAAGGAGAAGCGTTGGAAGAGAA